GATAGTGACACTTGCAATGCCTGACAACGGTTCATTTTGCATAGCTACTAGCTTGATTAACTTTTCTTAAAGCATCATTGTTATCAATTAGACTAATATTAATGTGGCAATCATTTAAAAAATTTAACACATTCCCAATTACTTATTGCAGTTTCAGGGCTCTATTTTATATTTAATCAAACTGCCACATAACCCGTATAAAAAGAAACCTAAAGCTTAAAGCTTTTTGTGCATATAATAGTATAAAAAATTTTGATTTAAAAGTATTTTTAGAACCCAGACTCATTTATTTTGATAACTGTAAAACAATTATCAGAACATACTTTAACTTCTTTTTCTTTACCATCTTAGCGCAAACTACAGCTTGATACAAACAACAGTTCTTAAGATGAAGATGATACAACTAATGGCGACAATCTTCTTTACTACTTAAAGTATCAAAGTTTTACTACTTTACTACTTAAAGTATCAAAGTTTTACTACTTAAAGTATCAAAGTTTATCAGGGGCCTGCCAGGTACTGTTGGGTAAGGTCAGAGTTTTCTTTATCAATGGAAGCAGTTAGTAGAATTTTCTCATTATTAATTACAAGTTGAACTGATATTAGCTCATTTTGTAGCCATTGTTTTTTATTCTCTTCAATTTTTAAGTTTTTCCATATAAACTACCATCCATAATTATTCGAATGGTTGTACTTTTCGATATAAGATATCATAGTTTTACTTGCTATTGGGAGAGAAACTGTAAGCAAAGTCTTTATGTTATCTTCCTTTTTATTATAATAAAAAGGAAGATAACATAAAATTCAGGTAGACTTTGCTTACAGTTTCTCTCCCAATAGCAAGTAAAACTATGATATCTTATAATACTATGATACATTTATAAAATTGATTTTAACAAATTGGAAAAGTTGCTAAGTAGAATCCCAAGAATATGTATGACGTTTATTGACGCTAAGGCTGATTAAAAAGCAAGTAAATTATAAATTAATTTAATTGGACTTTTATTAAATTTTTTGTAAACCTATAAGTTTTGCTTTTTTTATCACCCTTAGCGTCAATAAACGCCATATATATTCTTGGCATTCTACTTAACAACTTATCCAATTTGTCAAAATCAATTTTATGCCACTAACTAATAAGTTGTGTCCACATCTTATGCATCATTTAGTATTTGTTTTTGATATTAGTTTTTGACAATTCAATTTCTAAAAAAATAGTTTGAATTAGATAATACTAATTACAAAAACAATTAATTGTTATAAAGTGTACCTTATATCACCTTCTGTATTGTTTTCGTGACAACATTTATTTAAGTGCACTTTCATTCTTGCCACCAGACCCTGCAGTTCTTTTTTGCATATCCTACATCTTGCTTTACATCCCATGCCACTTTTTGTTTCAAGCTTTTTAAATGCGAACCACAGATCTTCTTCCAGACATTTTTCAGGGTTAGATCTTCTTCCGGACATTTTTCTGTTTTTGTTCAGTATGTTTTAAATATTTTTGTTTCTGCAAAAGTATAGCTAGAGTTCTAAACCATTTCAGAGTAATATCTTAGTTTTGACAAACAGTCAATAATAAATTATAACATAACAATATTAAAAAAAAACTTAATACAATCTAAACTTAATATAACAAATATCCAAAAAAATTTTATACTATCGCATAGTGTGAATAGTTTTATGGAGATAAAGTACTAAAAGTATTATACTAAAAGTTCATCAAAAAATATTTTATTTAAACCAAAAAAATCTGATTTAAATTAAAATTATAAACATATAAATGTTTAGAGTTTGCTCCATATCTGGAAGTTAGCTATCTCAAAGACCAAAAATTGATTGGCGCCACTGCTGTGCATCACTTAAAAAAAGTTTCCACTTTTAATATACATTTTTTTTTACAAAAATCCCTATGTCAGTTATCAATTACAAATTCCTCTAAGTAATAACACCTTATAAAAGTATAAAATATGTTAAAAAAATTATAAAATTAAACTATGTTACAAAAAATGCCTTCAAGTACATTAAAAATGTTTATTTTAATAAAAAATTTCCGAAATATTTTTGCTTTAGTTATAGATATAAAATGCTATTTTGATAAAAATGAACCCGAATTGCGTAATTTAAGAATGATGTTTAAAGTATATTTTAAAAAAAAATGGCGATTTTGTGTAAAGTTTTAAATTTAACGTTAAATTACTTTTCTTAGATATGCAGACCATTATTTAACATTATTCCGAATTAGCATAATATTTTTTCCTGTAATCATAAAAAATGAGAGGGAAAATTTCAATAATGCCTAAGTTTCCATTTAAATAATGCACAAAAACGATTCTTTAAAAACAATTTTTCTTGCTGGCTTGCAGCTTAACTACAGATCAGCCACGAAAACTTATTTAAAATTTAAAACATCTTTTAAACGTTAGTTTGTGTCTAAACTGGATTACAAACAAAATTTTAGTGTACAACTTTTTCCAATACCTGAAAAGTTTCTTTTTGTAATAGTATCATAAATAAAAATATATTTACAAAAATTGATGATGAATTTATCTTCCTTGCTACGATCGTCTTTGTTGTTAAAAGCTAAACCATTCGTAAGGACTATTGCCCAGGCTGGGCAACCTTTAAATCACCAAAGTGGAGCTAGTCCATATAGTAAGTTTTATAATGTAGGTTTGTTCCTATTTTATTTTATCATTATAAAATATGTTATCTTTTATTTTCATTTTTTTTACCTTCTATTTTAAGTGTATGAATTATAATTAAAATAATCGCATATATTCGGAATTTTTCAATTTTTTTAAATATATATATATATATATATATATATATATATATATATATATATATATATATATATATATATATATATATATATATATATAAACTATATCAAAAGAATTATTATTAATAGATTTCTAACAGTACTCTAGCAATATTTCTAGCAATACCTACTTTTTAATAATACCTTGGTATAAATTTGCCATAAAATCTAAACCTATTAAGCTAATTAAAATAGACCCTTTTTGATGTATGATTTGTTTTTTTTATAACTATCAAACTAATTCACGCCAAACACTTGTATTACATTTATTGCAATAAAACAAACCTCTATTTAAGCAGTTTATCTTTTAATGAAACTATTAATCAAATGTTTTAAAAATAGTTTTTTAATTAATTATTTCTTATTTAACATAAGGCCTTTCAAATTGATAGTTTTTTATTAAATATATAATTTAAATTTTATGCTATATATTTAATAAAAACGAGTTAAGAGTCTTTTTAATTCTTTAATAAAATCCTTTTTGTTAAGTGGAAAAATGAAATCATGTAAAGCTTAATTATATATATATATATATATATATATATATATATATATATATATATATATATATATATATAATATATATATATATATATATATATATATATATATATGTATATATATATATATATATATATATATATATATATATATATATATATATATATATATATACATATATATTTTATTTTAATATATTATTCAATATTTTGCTGAACTATTGTGATCAGCGTCATCAGGTATAATAAATAAAAATCGTTAACGATTATCTTTGTAACTATTTTTATTAATTATACCTGATGACGCTGATCACAATAGATTAACGAAATATCGAATAATATATATTAAATTTAAAAAAATATATATTTTTCAAAAAAGTTTATATGCATATATATATATATATATATATATATATATATATATATATATATATATATATATATATATATATAACTATCATAATTAGTTCAATATAACTATCAACGATATATATGTAACTATTATAGCATATAGACATACATATGCCAACTTTTTTTGCAGATTTGAAACTGCACAATTTTTTCAGAAAAAAATGAATAATAAAAATGCAATTGTTTACCCAACCTAAATTCTTCATCAATGTAGCGGTACTCTCTTGCAGGTTAATAAGTTTGACAATCTAGAATTTTATTGCAATCCTGATTGATTGGTCGTTAAAGGCTGGGACTGTAGTTTAGAAAGCAGCAACAGATGCACTCGAATATTGTAAAAAATACATTAAAAAGAAAAATTTTGCTAGGGAAGACAGGAAAGAACTAGCAGAACTTGTAATTATTTATTTATCGAAATCAGGAATTGTTAAAATAAAAAAACTAAGTGGAGTTCATCATGCAAGATTTCTTAGCTCAGCTCTTTATAATACAAAATTACATCTGCTATCTTAACAACACGATTTTTTGATAAATGAGGAAGACATAAAAGCTCATGTAGAACGAGTTGCGGAGTTTGTTTGTTGTTTTTATGCTCCATGGTACTTGCAAAGCCACAATCCTATTAAAGCCCCATACCTTGATATTACAGCTCTACATCAAACGACTCTGTATAAATATGTTTGCAAAATAAAAGAACCTGTAGATAAAGTCATTGACTCAATATTAAAACATTCTTGGTACCTAGACTCAACTTTGATACTCTTTTGCTTCTAGATTATAAAGTTCCTGATAAAAACAAAACACTAATCACCAAATCAATTTTATCTTACAAAATGCTATCTTTAAAGGTATCTGATTACAAAATTGAAAATAAGCTGAAAGTGGATATCAAGGAGATAATCAACCTAGGTAGCACAATGGCTAGTAATCCACCAAATTTGGCGGTGTTGGTTAACAAGTTTTTCTACTTTAATTTTGCAGTAAATGGGTTTACAGAAGAGAGAATATATATATATATATATATATATATATTATATATATATATATATATTTATTTATTTTTTTTATTTTAATTCACCTCCTCAAGGACGAGAAGGCCACTACAGACGAGGAGGCTACTTATTTGTGGTTATAACCCTCTCTCAACTCTATAAATTCGAAACACGAACCTTGACGAGCAAGGCCGCTGCGCGGAGAAACGAGTTGATATATATATATATATATTTATATATATATATATATATATTCTCTCTTCTGTAATATATATATTGCAGTAAATGGGTTTACAGAACAGAGAATATATATATTACAGAAGTGAGAATATATATATATATATATATATATATATATATATATATATATATATATATATATATATATATATATATATGTATATATATATATAAATATATATATATATATATAATATATATATATATATATATATATATATATATATATATATATATATATATATATATATATATAATATATATATATATATATATATATATATATATATATATATATATATAGATAGATAGATAGATAGATAGATAGATAGATAGATCATTAGATAGATAGATAGTTAGATAGAGAGAACCCTCAAAATTAGGGTCAACTTTTGGCAATGCTGACCTAAAAGTGTTTGGGGTTGGCAAAAAATCGCTGACATCGTTTTATGATAATCCCTTTGTGTAAAAATTGTTTTTATCGACCTTATAATTTTTGTTGTTAGATTGTAAGGTTTGCAATATTTGACAATATTCCATTTTACAATAAGCTTTATGTTTTGGTCTTTTAAGCACCATATTTCCTTAGAGAGTTATGTGTCATTTCTAAACTTAGCTGATGTAAATGATTTGAGATGGTTTGCGTATCTTAATTTAAATGATGTGTATCACTAATGCTAATGTACACTTTTTTATTATGATGACTGGAACTTACAATTGCTTGGTAGACAATATTGTTAGACAAACACTGGTTGTTCAAAAGACAAAACACTTTATCTACGCCGTTGCAAACTTTAGGTTAGGCATGCAACTGTAGCTGATTTTAATAGAATTTCGGTTGAATATTATGTAGCTTGTGGTCGGCTGGAAAATGTAGGTCAGTTAGGGCTAGAAAATGGTATCCTATTTTTGTTTATGCATTCAAGCTGAACTAAGGGTTATACCAAATGATATTACGTTTACGATGTATATATATATATATATATATATATATATATATATATATATATATATATATATATATATTATTATATATATATGTATATATATATATATATATATATATATATATATATATATATATTATATATATATATGTATATATATATATATATATATATATATATATATATATATATATATATATATATATATGTTGGATTTTAAGCTTTCCTAATATCTTTTCCTTTAACAGTTGTTATGACATATGACATACTAGTTGCTTTTCTTAAAAATTATTCTTAACAATATTTTCTTAATATATTTGTTGTGAGTTAACAAAATTATTCTTAACATAACAATATTGTTTAGTTACTTTTTTCTAAATCTTGTTAATTAATTGAAAATTGTTAATAAAAAAGAAGTTGGATTTTTTATTAACAGTTTTCAATTTTCAATTTCTCTTTTATGGCCATTTAGTGTTACTTTGCAGGTACTACATCCATCAAGAGGGTATATGTTATGTCGAGAGGGTATATGTTATATATATCAAAAGCTGATATTATGTAAAACTCCAAAAAATCTAATTTATTTTCATTAAAGTTTTTACTTGTTATTTACTTGCTAAATATGTTCAATATAATCTTGCATAGAGTATGTTGCGCTTCTTCCTGAAGAAACATCAAATGAGTTTCATCATATAAACAACAGGAATGCTACAATACTTTTTTTGACAGATTTATTAAGAGGTATGTTGTTTTCTTAATTTTAAGATTTGTTTAAGACCAAAAAAAGTATATAATTAGTATATAAGTTAGAGAGGCTATTTATTTGGCTGAACATAACATTCTACAATACTGAATGAAATGCTACAATACTTTTTTGACAGATTTATAAGGAGGCATGTTAGAGGTGTTCTATATTTGACTGAATATAAAGTTTGAAATTTCATTATTTTAATTTTTTTATGATCAAAGAGACCACCAGATTTAATGTGCACGGCTCTCATTAAATTAAAAACACCTATAAGATGTTTAAATAAGTGCTTATTTTTTGTAAATATTGTAATTTAAAAAAATATATTGATTTGAATTTTCCATTTAAAGGTTTGGCAATGACTTTAAGCTATGTGTTTCGAGAGCCAGCCACAATTAATTACCCTTTTGAAAAAGGTCCTTTGAGTCCTCGCTTTCGTGGTGAGCATGCATTAAGAAGATATCCTTCTGGTGAAGAAAGGTGTATTGCTTGTAAATTGTGTGAAGCTATTTGTCCTGCTCAGGTAAAATTGTCAAGTATACTCAGTAATTTTCTTTAAACTATTTTTTGCCCTATTTTATTTAGACTTATTTTAATTAAAACTTTTTTTTTAAATATTAAGAATTATTTTTTATTTTTTATTTTTTTTGTTTACACACAGAAATTTATTTTTTAGAATAAATGATAAAAAAAAGCAAACAAATAATTTTATTATCAATATGATAAAAAAATAGAATATGATACTATAATGAAAGAATAGAATATCATACTATATACTAAGTTTCTATACAGTAGAACTGTGTTCTTCTTACAACATAACTTATTTACAATAGAATTCCATAAAGTCTCCAACACAAAAACAAATGTTTAAGGTGCTTAAGAAATAGTCTGTTCAAAACTGCTAAGTTTAGAATGTTAATATTTTTTTACCTTCAAACAATTGAAAGGATTTTTGAGATCTCCTTTTTAGAATGGTTTGTCTTGATACCATCTTAGATAGAACAAGATTAGAACAAGACTGCAAGCAACCACTATTAGAGTTGAAAGTTACTGGAAAAGAAAAGATGAAGTTTAAAGCAAAATAACGATTGACAGACAACTTAAACAATTGGAAATTGTATGAATCAGATAAAGGAAATAAATTCCAAAGAACTGATGTTCGATTAAAAAAATTAAACAGAATAAAATTTTTTGGAGCACTTCAGAATAGTCACAGTAAAAGGATGAGACTTAATTGAATGACAAATAACATGAGAATGAGTTTTAGTAAATGGCATGAGGGACGCTAGCTCTTTAGAGCAGTGCCCATTAGAGTATTTATAGGAGAAACAGAAGCAATATTAAAATGTGATAATAGTTGGAGGTTGGCTGCAAGAGCAGGTCCATCTATGTTTGCAATGCGTTTTTGACCTTGTCTATAGGAAAAAGGGCAACAATGGAGGAACCGTACCAGATATGGCAACAGTATTCCATACAAGGACAGATTTGAGGTTTATAGAGATAAAGAATAGAATCGAGAGTAGGTTGCGAGCATGATAAAGATATGCAACCTTTGCATAGGCTAATTTTGCAATAGATTTGATATATGGTTTCCTAAAAAGATCAAAAGTAAGAGGTAATCCTAGAAGATAAAGGGTAGATGACTCATCGAGTACATTACCATTCATAAATATAGGAAGATATAGATGTTTGCAATAAAGATTAGCTGAAAAAAAATGAGTTTTACCTGAGTTTAATTTCACCAGCCACTGAGAACCTTATACTGTAGCAGAAGTGAGATCCTTTTCAAGCTCAAATGCCCCCTCCAATTAATCAGAGTGTTAGCTTCTTATCAAAGAATAAATGATAGTATCATCAGGGAACAATGCCACCTTATATATGAGAATTTCTTTAATGTAGGATCGTTAACAGAAGATCTTTAATATAAATTGAAAAGAGTATAGGGCCAAGGATAGACCTTTAGGAACCCTTGAAGTTGCAGGGTATGAAGAAGAGTGCTGTCTATTGAGGAGAACTTTTGTACTTTTATTGGTAAGGAAGGATTCAGTGATCTTAAAGATGTTACCTGATACACCATAAAAAAAAATCTTATGGAAAAGACCAGCAGGTTAAACTTTATTAAAAACCTTAGAAATGTTAAGAGCAATAAGTTTAGGTTTTTGATTTATTTGATGAAAAATGCATGTATATTTTTAAAATTTTGATAGCCACCATGTCCCTGGTAGAACTGCGGTCAACTTGTTTATGCCCGCAGCGACCTTGTTCATCAAGATTCATGCTTCGGAGTTTTAGATTTGAGAGAGGGTTGTAACCACAACTAAAGTAGCCTCCTTGACTGTAGTGAACATCTCAACCTTGGAGAGGTAAGTTAAAATTTAACAACAAAAAAATGTGTTCACCTCCCCAAGGCCGAGAGGGCCACTACAGTTGAAAAGGCTATTTTTTCTATTAATAAGTTAAGAGGTTTACAACCTTCTCTCAACTATTTAATTCTGAAACACAGACCTTGATGAACAAGGCTAGTATATGGGGATCAAACTTGAGCATGGTACTACCAGCGACTTTATGGGGATCAAACTTGGAACTTTTCCCTTATGAAGCAAGTTCTCTACCTCTGTCTAACTACTACTATGTTTTAATGTGGTTTAATATAGCCAATGATACTCCCAAAAAAAAGAAAAAAAAAGAAGTAAAAAAGGCTTTATTAAATCAGCTTTTGTGAAATCATTTCAAGATGTAAATTTTTTAATCATCTAAACTATATAAAAAATATATATAAGGCGTTTTTCTAAATAACATAAAATTTTTTCTACTGCTGCAAAATAATACATATTTTTGATTAGTTCTCAGGTATTACTTAATAATTTCAATTGTCATTATAGGCAATTACAATAGAGGCTGAACCCAGACCCGATGGTAGTCGACGTACAACAAGATATGATATCGATATGACAAAGTGTATTTATTGCGGTTTTTGCCAAGAAGCATGTCCAGTTGATGCAATTGTTGAGGCATGTTTTTTTCCTATTATAAAACTCTAAATACTTGTAATGTTTTACTTGAATATTTAAAAATGCAAAAACAAAAAATGCTAATTTATTGTTTCTATGGTTCTAACGCTAAGTATACTGTTTTTAGGGTCCTAACTTTGAATATTCAACTGAAACACACGAAGAGTTGCTTTACAATAAAGAAAAGCTGTTAGAAAATGGAGACCGCTGGGAAGTTGAGATAGCAAAGAATATTCAAGCTGACTATCTTTATAGATAATTTCTATGCGTTTGTATGCTAAAAAGTATGTTTGATAAATAATTATAAATAAAAAAAAATCTCTGAAATTAGTTGAAATTATTGCCTAATAATTTTAAAATTAGAATTGAGTTTGACTTCTATTAATGTTATTTGTATGACCATGCATTCATTTATCTTTAATAAATCTTGAAAAAAATTAAATATTATTATTGGCTACTACTACTAAATCTTTGGCATTAATAATGAGAATAAATTTAATAATCAAGCTTTGTCTTTTATAAAGTGCTATCATGGTACTTAAATTTTAGTTTTTGGTACCAATCCTAATAAAATTAATTGGTGTTCCGTACCAATTTTGTTACTTAAAGCATGATACTAATACACACTAAATAAATGTGAAAGTAGAAAAACTAAAAAAGGGACCCATCAATTTTTATCTAGAACTATGTAATTTTAATACATTATTATAAGAAGAAAGAATATTTCAAAGAAATTAATTTATTCCGAACTTTTGCTTAAGTACGGAACAACAAATAACTTTTTGATGCATTTCTGCTGTCGATACTTTTTTCTAAATGAACAATCCAATGATATATATTAACTATAATAAATTAAATATATATCATTGGAACAATCTCAGGTTTCGCGTTTTTTGTAAAATCAAGACCCTAATTATTTAAATTTATTTAAAGCGTTTATACTCATTTTCTTTTAATAATTTACGATAGATAAATAGTTATTATGAATATTATATTAAATAATTATTTTTAATATATTATTGGAAAATTTGTTATAACTTATCACTATTAAAAACGAATTCGATATTTAAGCACTTATATTATATTTAGGTCAGGATTTTATTAAAAACGCGAAACCTGGATTTGCTTGTTTTTTCGTTTAATAATTGCTCAGTACCTTTCAATAACTCATAATTCTGGTGAGTTAAAAGGATTAGCTTTTTTAAGGCACAACTTTCACATTGTTTTGTTCATAACATGACTTGAAGCTAAATCAGGCCAGAACTATCATGTGTTTTAATGAGCGTTAGATTTGAATTAATATATCTTTATTTCTAAAAATAACTCATGTAGTAATTGAATATAATTTTTTTTTAAATGTTAGAATTTAAGCAATAACTTAAGAACAATTGTGCAAAATTTTTTGAGTACAATTATAATCTACAACAAAAAAATTAAGACAATTTATAAAAACAGTAAACAAAGAAAAACGTAATATAAAAAGTATATAAAAATAATTTAAAACTCTCCTTTTCTATAAATGTCACCCTCTCCTTCATTATTCTTATCATTAAACCCTTCTCTGTTGGCTCTTAACTTTTTTTCTTTGTCTTTTTTCCTGAATCGCCTGACTTTTTATTTACTTGATTAATACGCTATTTGTCTTTTTCAGTTAAACTTTGTAATTGTACTATATGAGTATGAATATTCAAATTTTAAAACTTCCAAAATACTAATTGATCCATCGTTTTAATCGAATTACTTATAGATTTTGGTAAAGATATACTGTCTTTGTATTTAAAAGAAATGTTTAGTTTATCCAATTGGAACTTACACCAGGATTCAGTAATACGAGGGCAAAATTTATGACGGCCTTCAGGATCATTGTTTACTGAACAATGATGTATGAGTGTAGCTATGCTCTTTTTTATGCCATATGCAGTACTTTCAAAAAAAATAGGCACAGTAAAATTTTGTTGCTTAAAGCATATTTATACTACCATAAAATAAACACTAAAGAAGATATAAAACAAATTTTATTTTATTTGCAAGAAAATTTTTTTTTAAACAAGTCTTGCATATTGGATGGGATACTAAAACATAAAATTGTATATAAAATCGTTATCAAATATAATAACAAAAAATACTGCAAAATATAAATAACAATAAAAAACTGCAAAATATAAATATATAAAGCAACAAAAAAACATTTAAGCTAGTATTTAAAATATCCTCTACGAGCTTTATTGCTAGCAACACATCTTTTTTGCATTGATTTTACAGATTTTGTTTGAATCTCTTCTTTAAATGGTATCTAATTCTTGCTTAAGGGTATTTATGGATCGTATTTGCATCTTGACTAATTATTTATCCTTCCAAACCTCAAAAGATTTGATTGGATTTAAACCTAGTGATTGAGCTGGCCAGGACATTAAATCTACTTTATTTTCTTTTATCCATGCTTTACTGTAGGAGCTGTGTGAGCAGGTGCCAAATCTTATTGAAATTGCCACTATTCGTTTTGATCAATTAGCATGTTCACTGATGGTAGCGTCTCTATATATGTAAGTTGCTTGATTCAACCTGTTTAAATGTTACACACTCCTACTTCATTAAAATTTAAGCAGCCCCAAACACCAACACTGCCGCTGCCACTTCGCAACCTTGGTACAACTATACCAATTGCAATTACTATACTTTTCCAATTTAAATCTTTTAACAAGAATTTTTCTTTTTCTATTTATTACTTCAAACTTCAAAGTTACTTTCATCACTAAAAGTTACTTGCTTCCACTTATCCAAAGGACACCCAATTCTTTCCTTACTTCACCTAAATCTTGTGAGCCGATCTCTGGCCGTCAACATAGATTTCTAACAGTTGCATAGACACCAATTTTTTTTCTTAGTAAAACGTTTCTCACTAGATTTGACGAAATACGCATTTCACGGTTTTTGGTTGAATGCGTCGTTGAGTTCACAATAACTTAACATAGGATTGGCTCTTATTTGACAAAATATAAGAGTATTTTCGCGTTCAGTAATTTTTTTTAACCTGATCATGGAATGTTCCATAGCGATTAAATTTTTGAATATTTTTCTATCTTAAATTCTGAACACTATTTCAGTAAGTTTTATAAGTTTCTGCAACTAAGCAATACTGATAGTTTTTCAGTAAAAATGATTCAACTCAAGTACGTCTCATTACTTATTGTTTATTTTCCGTGAAAGAATGGAAGAAAAATATTTCTCGGAAATAATTATGCATGGCGTTGGACGCCATCTGTTGTTTTAAATGTCTTCAGAGTATATCTGACGCAATTCTCTGAAATTTTTAATTTTCTTGCCAATTCTTTATTACTGATCATTGAGCATACATATTATTTGCCACTTTGTTGCTTCGCCTACTGCTTTTCGATCCATTTCTATGTATATTTACTTTTAGGAATTTTTCAAATTATTTTAAAAGACTTTAAATGTAGCTAAACTGGTCATCATAAGTATTTTCATCCAGCATTTATGGGAAATTGTCAAACTAACTTAAAGTAATAAAATAATTATGAATAACAGTTGGGTTGACAAGAGAGTAGAACGAAAGTCAATTAAAAAGTTTGTGCGCCAATTTTTATTTTACAGTTTTTTCCGGTATGTTTTTTGTATTCCTTTGAAAAAACTAAATTATTAAAAAAGACTATATACGAACTTGTTACTGACATGTAAGTTGTAGAGAAATAATTTTGCTGTCGTTCAAAAAAACAATTAAGTCTCTAGGAAATATAAATGGGAATTCACAATGTTTTGAAAAAGAAAATCTACTCAATTTTTTACTACGTCTATTTTTTTTTGAAAGCACTGTATATCACCTTTATTTTAACAAATGGCCATGCCATAATAATTCAGAAGTGTGTAAATCATTTTATCAGCCATTCTTCACTTGCCCGTCAGTCGCTTACCATCACTTAATAGTTTTCCCTTGTTTCTCACTTTTAAGGCTCTCAAACGTGATCCAACCCTTTTCTGAACATGTCCAACCTTTCATTTTCTACAATTTTATATCCAGGATATGGATTTGAATTAAATATATCTTTAAGTGACTTACTGTCACCATCACCTCTGTATTTTGTGTATCGTAACCTGTTTATTCTGACAGAACGTTTAAACATTGTTAGCGCATCAGCTGACACCATTGCTCCTGAGCTTATTTTATGGTTAATGTTACAGTTATGTGAAGCATGCTAAATATTATAGTCTAGAGATTCTTTTTTTTGACTCATAGAACCTTCCCAAAATCCTAGACAGTTTTTGGACAGTGTTTGGTTATCCACACATTAAGAAACAACAGTCACCACGCCATTCAAAGATGAATATTTTATGATCTACACTAACAGTTACATTCTTTATTGTATCATCTTTCTTGAACATTGGATAATTAAATTGAATATTGTTTTTTGTGCATTTTTCTAATGCTACTAACATTGAACTCTGGGCAGCTTTTACTTATGCCACTTGCAAATTAGCTGTAATATTATTGTACGAAATTAAATTCATAGGTGGTGGCGCGTTCATAATGCTGCAAAATATTTTCATACTGGTAAGACCTTTGCCAATTTCTCGAAATGCCTGGTGTGTCGCTATAATGTTAACATCATAATAGTAATATCATCCTCATTTCGATCTTTTATTGTTTTGGAGGTAAAATATTTTTTAGACCAACCACATCTTAAGCAACGAATCAAAATCATATGAGCAAATCCTATCTTTGCAGAAATGTAATACTTAACTTGCAGTTTTTTGCTGGACAACACGGACAAGTTCCAACATAATTGATAATTTCTTTTAGTATATCAGCATTCATAAAAATATAGTATTCAGAGTCATTTGTTTTACAAAAACAAATGTTTTTTTTTAATTCTTTGGTGTTTAAAATATGTAATAAAAGTATGTTTATGAAAAATCGAAAAAATGAAGATCATTTATAGATGTATAACCTTAAATTTCTTATCTGCTATTTGGCAATATAAGAGACAGCACCAAGAGTTTGATGATGATCGTGCTTGATATAAGTTTCATCATATTCAAGAATACAGACATTTTTAGAAATAAAATTGTCACACCTTTTTGCAGCAGTTTTTTTTTGAATTTCAGAACTGTTTGGCGGTTTTTGTGATTTAAAAGAATGAAGACAATGCTTATTATAAACTTTTAGCTATGAGAAAATCCGTATCTTTTTGCACGATCTCATAATGAGAGGCTCGAAGTAGTTTTAAAAGTATTACCCAGTTTTATATCTTGAAAATCCTCCTTTCTTCCATCACCAGATTTGCGTTCGATTGATTTTGTTCAATAAAAAC